ACGCAGCAAACATATTTTGCTTTTCCTATATCCACGGGCGCTGCGGATTATCCGCGGGTCAGATAATAAAAAATGCTTTCTGATTATTTGCGGGTGGATAAAATAAATCATAAATGATGCAAATATTAACTACATTTTTTTTTAATAAATTTTTTTCATGAGGCAGACGATTTCGTGTGTGTGTGTTCGTTCGCCTGATCGGGAAGTTGCAGTGACAGAAACGGTGACATTCCAGATAAAGTTTGAAAGGAGTAAAGCCTGTGTTAATGCTATTGAGTAGGCTAATATGGCCAAAGAAGATATTTTGTTTTATAAATAATGTTAATTTAAAAGCAGCCCAAGATCAGCGTGTTATGTTACCGTTACCCCTTTCAGCTCCGATGAGGTTTTGTTCCGTCCTCCACGCTGTGACAACTCACAAAAGACTATTTTTAGCCAAGCAGCGCAGAGAGCCGCTTCAGAAACGTGCCGCATTAGAAAGCATTAGAGCGGCCGCGATCAGCTCCGGTTCCTGTGGAGCCGTAACGTGCCGCAGACGTGTGCAGTGAGGCGCAGATCAGCTCTAACATCACTGAATCTGCTGTTAAAAATGAACCATCCATTCATCATATCATCATGCAAAACATACTTGACAAATAGCAAATTTTTCATTGTTTCTCGAAACATCATAGCATTTTTCCACACGGGCGATGACATGACTGTGGCTCAAAATCATTTATGTCCCACGCATCATGTACGTGGTCAGGCATTGACGTCATCAAATTGTGATTGGTTTGTGAGATCGGCCAAGTGTAGTGAGTACCGATCGAGTCATAATTCGAGTCACACATTCACTCTGAACAAAGTAACCTGTTACTGTCAGTTATTCTGTAAATGTAAAAAAACAACTTACATTTATATTCAGTCACATGCTGTTATCATTTTACAGTTACTATCATAAAATACTTAAATTAAATGTTTGACTTTTAAACCTAAGTTTAACGTCCAATAACAGACATATAAGCAAAATGAATATGATTGCGCTGAATATTAATTTTCTCCCTCTTGTTCCGTCTGTTTGACGCGCATGCGCTCGCCGGCGCTCGTTCAGTGAATTCTGAAGTTTAACACAGACTGTCAGGACAAGCCTTCATGCAAAATAGAAACATTCACGTGAATATGTAGCATTTACAGAAAAGGATATAACCGTAAAATGCAGATTATGCGCTGAGGAAACATCTCACACATTAAACAGCACACGCATCTGTCAAAGCGCCTGACAGGACAAGCCGTGTTAAACATTAGCTAATGCATTAGCTTGAAGTTTGAAATAAAGCATTCTCATGTTTTGGGCAGCTTGGATCACGCATCTTTCCCGCAGCAGCTCACTCTGTTTCATTCGCTATTTTTAGATGCATTTTGTCCATAGAAATGCGTTATTCACTGCTGTAATTTGACGCGACTGGTGGAAGTTTTCCATGCGCGGTGGGCAGACGCGACTAATTGATCATGACATTTCGTTGTCGATGATTTTCATTATCGGTTTTATCGATTAGTTGTTGCAGCCCTACATTAGTGTCATCAAACAGAATTGGACAAAATTATGACTATTTCAACAAGGTTTCCTGAACTTGCCTCCATCTGCTGTTTGTCTAACAAACTGCTAGTCCCACCCCAACGTTATGCCATTGCTATTTTAAATAGAAAAAATTACACACATCTTAAGGAATTTACAAAGCCACCAACATGTACTTTGCATAGTTTTAGTTTCTTGACACTGACCTTCTAAAATTGCAGTTACCTTTGTTTGCCATTCTGATAATGACTTGTTAAGATGGCTTTCTATATTTATCCCTTTCTCTTTTATCATCTTTCCCCATTCCCGTTCTACTGTGCATAACATGCAAAGCTATCAACACTATTCAGAAACATTCTTCGGCTTTAGTGTAGAGCGAATTTCAGTCATGAAAAAGCAGCGTAGTGACTGCATGAGTCACCATGCAAAGCCTATGCACGTAACACAGCTTAATGTCATTTGTTATGAAACAAGATGTTGTTGTTTTTTTATCTTAAATTTATTATTTTGTTTCATTGAACTAGAAGCAGCTGTGTGGATTCTGTGTCATCGTTAGACTTTTAAGATCCATCTAATGTCTTGCCGATGACTCTGTCACTGCACTTTTCGAGAGCTTAAGTGCGTAGGCAAGTTCCTGATGAGTGTTGGGACGCACATGCGGGGGTTTGGTGACTGGAGATCGAGGGTATCCCTCTCAACCAGAGCGGTTGCAGCTTTTTCGCCCCCTGAAAAGGAGGGATTAAAGAGGAAGATTGCTCTCTTCTCTTCCTCCCACCAGTGACTCACCACTGGATGCAGGAGGGGAGCAGGCGAGAAGAGGGGAAGGAGACAGATAAATAATTGCTAGATAGGAAGACGAAATGAAATTGACTTGGGAACGATGGTGGGGGTTCTGCCGAGGTTTGTCTAGTTAGTGCTGCTTGCGTTTAGCTTAAAGGTACTACTATTGCTCGTACATAGTTCAGGATTTGAACAAACTCTTATCCCAAATTATTAAACTTTAATATGAAACTATAGCATATAGGAAGCAGATGTGAGCTTTTGTGACTTGAGCCAGTAAGCAACCTCATAGCAAAGCTCTGAAAACACTTCTTAGCATCATGGTGCCAATAGTGGCAAGCACCACTCACATTTTGTTCAGAAAGTGTAAAATCAGTTTTTGTCAAAGAGCTGCACTTAAGCAGATTTATTCTTATCTTGCAAAAAAAAGTACCATGGCTTTACCGTCCGATACACTGTACTATAGCACTTTTTTAAGAGATTGATCTTTTTAAAACGTTACTGAGTAGGTTTCTTCTTATCTTGTAAAAACGTTCCATTGTATCACCATGGATTTTGGATTTGGCACAATGGTTATACTGTTTTTTTTAAACATTACCCTCATAGTAATACCATGGTATTCTTCAAAGTAATGTTTAAAAACCATAGTATCAGTGTAACTTGGTAATGTTATATTTTTTATATATTGTTTAGGGGTGTCCCCGACTAAGGATTTTCATAGTCGAATCGGAATTTTCGAATCTTGCCGATATTCGACTGATAGTCAAATCATATGTTTTGGAGGCGGGGCAAAATACATTACCAAGAGTCAAGTCAGACATTCGACAGTCATAATTACGTTAACACACAGGGAAAATGTGCAACAGACGCCTCACAGACACAAATGGGGTAAATAATGTTTTATGTTTTGATTAAAAGATAGTTCACATTAAACGTCAGCGAAACCCTAAGAATTCACAAAATTTTTTACAATAGTGCTCTCATTATAACGTTATGTATATGACAGTAGTTATTAATGTTCTGCATTTCTGTTTTGAGCTGCTTGCGCTGAAGATGACCAGTAGAGTGATGCAGCAGGTTTTCTCCCAATAAGTTAATATACAGCCTATTAAAATAATGCTGTAAATAAGAATATGAAAAGAAAGAAGTCTCAAATAAATATTTGAAAGTGCGTGAATAAATCCAACCACCCCTATAGATTTAAGTTTCACTTTCCATAATCCGTAACCGACAGAGGAGCGTTTTGGCGGCAGGGATTTAAATCTTTAGCAAGACTCAAACTAGCCGGGTTTCCATCCAAAGTTGCGAATTTAACTTATGCGCAAAATTGGAATATCGCACAAAACATTTGCGAACAAGCACCGTTTCCATCCAACGAGTCAAAGAGAACAAAATCATCACTTCCTGATAAACTGGCACTGTACATCACTAAGAAAAGTAGGAGAAGCTACTGAATATAATAATTTTCCTATATAATAAATTGCCTGCACCTCAGAACGAGCAGACAAAACACAATGAATGCGGTTATTGCTTTCGGAGGTGGATGCTGCTGTTTGGGAACGCAGTCGTTTAACAGTTCTGGGAAGCAATTATACAGAAATACTTTGATGACAGACTTTGCTCGGGCATCTCCGAATGACCATATAACAACATTTCAGATGCTGTGGAACAAGATCGGTCCGCTGGTTAGTCAGGTTTTGCCAAACGCTGTGAATTTTTAGAGTTTAGTTGCTGTGTTTCTGCACGTTGTTGTGTGAAGAACGCGTCCACAAAAGGAGTTCATTCAGAGCCGCGCAAACACGTTCACTTCTGTATTCGGGGCATTTTTTTGTGCAGATAGCCGTAATATTAACGTTGTGTTGTATAAATAACGAATAACGAATTATGTTGTATAAATAATGAAGCGTATTCTATATGAGATAAATGATGTTAAATCCCATTGATTAAAAACCAGTAGTTCTATGTGAAATCAGACATTTGAGCACCCCCATACAGCCAAAATGGCATGATCATAACACCCCGCAAATATTCGACTGCGAGACTGGTATTCAAATCAGGCTCTTCCTATCGTTGCATCAATTCTTCGACTATTCGGGGTCACCCCTAATATTGTTTATATTTTAATATGATTTACAATTATTATTATGTGTCTCACAAGGTTGAGGGATGATGATGGTAAAGTTTGAAAAGTCTTTAATAATCCACTTTAAGGTAATCCAAGCAGGCAGACAAACAAAACACAACCTCTAACTTACACGAGACCGGACAAATGGGAACTGAAAAGGCTACAACTTAAATACAAAGCAAATGAGGGTAATAATGATTTTTCAAAGTCTTCATTTTCACTATACTGCAAATACTCATTATACTGCATCACCATCATCATCATACTTTTCATAAGGGCTTTTGTGCTTCATGTATGTGTAATGTTGTAATAAATAATTAATCGATGGAGAAATGTGCATTATTTTGATCTCTCAATTCTTATTCGTCATTTTGTTATATAAATAACGATAGCACCACTGCAGTGATTCATGCCATTATGTATTCCAGCCCATTCATTTGCATGTCATCCAGGCAGATTTGATCCTCCAAAAGAGCTCATTGTGAACTTAACACAGACCCCACAAACACACACTGCTGTTGTGAGGGAGGGAGGAAGGAAAAACAAACGAATGAGTGAGAGTGAATGAGCGGGAGAGAGAGTTATTGAAAAAAGAGCAACACCCTCCTCCTCGCGCTCGCTCTGCCTGCAATCATTGAGAAAAAATTTCAAAAGAGCACGGCATTAGAATTCAGACTGCATCCTCCTCGCGCAGCGGCAGACTCACACACACACACACACACACGCACACATATACACTCACATATCTACACATATACTCCCCCGTGAATGAACCGTCTTTGACTCATCTCTCCTTGGTGATTCATCTCCTCCTCCGGACCCCGCCCGCCTTCACTGCCCTGCACTTTACACCCAATCACAGCCCACCGGGGTGACGTGACACGCCGCAGTGTGTGTCTGTTATGCTGTGACATGCAGTCACCATTGAGGCAGCGATATACGAAAACACTCCTTGTCACTTTGGTCAATCACAGACCCTAGCTGGCCTTTCCTTTTCATTAAAACACCCCCACCTATGTCCTTGTGTGTGTGTGTGCGTGTGTGTGTGTGTGTGTGTGTGAATGCCTCTGTTTGTCTGCCTGAGTATCTTGAATACAAATTGAGCCCCCGTCTCCCGCCATAGTGAGTGAGACAGATGCTGCATGGTTTTAGTGTCTTGAATAAAGAGGGAGTTGGCATGAAGAAGGGAATTGTGAATATTTGAGTGTTGGCATACCTTCAACCTCAAGGTCTCGTGCAAGAAAAAACACTAGTATGAATCCCATCATCTCGCATGTGCTTCCATCGCACGTTGTACTGCATCAGCTGCTGTTTCGCTGCTCACGCACACACGCGTTCATTCCGCTGGAGGCTTTTGAGTAGATTTTTGGCAAATGTTCGCTGAGTTTCTTTGGTGAGATGGTCCAGACCGTGTGCTTGGACTGATGTTCAGTCTGTTACTCTTTACACCCTCACTCCAGTGTTATTTTAGTATTATTTATATACGATTATAGTGTTTATTAATATTTTGAATTGGCTTTTTTTTCTTGTTTAGATTTACATTTTTAATTTTAACACGTTTGGCAATTTTATTAGTTTTTGTTTTTATATTTCTATTTAATATTAACTTTAATTTATATATATATTTAGTTTTAGTAATTGTATTGCTTAAACTTATTTCAGCTAATTGCCAAGGCAACATTTTCATTTACGTTTTTTAAGTATATGAAAAGTCTTATAATATGAAATTCTGTGTCATTTAATTATTATTTAATTATTATTTCATTTTATTTAAATTATCAAAAATGAGCTGGAGGCCTTTGACGTGATTTAACTCCAAAACAAAGATTTATTGAACTGAATTACATTAAATCTAGTTAATTGCGAAGTAAATGAAGCCCAATCTTTTAGCTAAACTGAATTGTATTCAAAATACCGTTTAAATACCATAGTACCAAGGTTAGTACCACCATTACCATCTGATACCATCAGTTTAACATGCTAATGTTATATTAATATTTTGTTTCTATTTTAGTATTTATATTACATTATAGTTTTATTAATATTCGATTTAATTAAGCAGAACTGAAAGAAAAGCTCATTCTTTTAGCTAAACAAATAAAATAAAATAGCCATTTAAATTAATTGAACTGAACAGAACAGAAACAAATTGTACACTTCTGAACAAAACTGATCTGAATAGAACTTGAAACTTGAATGAAACGGCACTGAACTGAAATGAACAGATTTAAATCGCACTTAATAAATCTGCTGAACCGAATGAAACTGTACTAAACAGAACCGGTTCAAAGTGTACTGAACTAATCTGAGTTCAAATGAAATGAACTGAATCAAACCGAGCTGAACTGAACTGTTGAATGGCACTGAATTCATGATGTTTGTGTGCTCTTTTCGCAGTATTTGGACCAGCAGCATGTGCAGCAACTGAATGTGTTCCAGGCCTCCCTGTCCATCACGGGAATGCCCCACAGACCTCTGGGAAGGGCACAGTCGTCCCCCGTCACTTCTAGTCTTAAAGGAGCACCCCTGAATGAGGTGCCAATTAAGCATCTCTTCACAACAGGTACACTGCACTGCTGTCAATCAGTCGCACAGAGTGGAGAATTGATCTAAAAGGCAATATGTGTATTAGATTAAAATTAATTCATGTTTCATAGCATTTATACTCTGGATGGAACTGATACTGGGATTGCTAGACTTGTATTTTTAATCATCTCCTGGCTCACTCTGCAGGGCTGGTGTACGACACCTTCATGCTAAAGCACCAGTGCATATGTGGGAACACAAACATCCATCCCGAACACGCCGGTCGCATTCAGAGTGTTTGGTCCAGGCTGCAGGAAACAGGGCTGCTTGGTCGCTGTGAGGTGAGTGTGCCACCTACTGGAAGGGGTCAGCCAGAAACAATAAACAGGAAGCTTTGTGTTAAAGCTCAGCTCTTTGCAAATACACTTTAGCTTTGTGTTTCTTTTGATAGAAATGAAAACTTTTATTCAGCGAGGACGCATTAAATTGATCAAAAGTGAGAGTAAAGACATTTATAATATTACAAAAGATTTCTATTTCAAATAAATGCTGCCATACATCAAGAAATCCTGAAAAAATGGTTTCTACAAAAAAGCAACACAGCGGTTTTCAACATCGATATTGATAAGAAATGTTTCCAGAGCACCATATAAGCATATTAGGTTGATTTCTGAAGGATCATGTGACACTGAAGACTGGAGCAATGATGCTGAAAATTCAGCTTTGCATCACAGGAATAAATTACATTTAAAAAAAATATTAAAATAGAAAACATTTATTTAAAATTCTAATAATATTTCACAATATTACTGTTTATACTGTGTTTTTGGTCAAATAAATGCAGCCTTGGTGAGCAGCATAAGAGACTTCTTTAAAAACCATGTAAATAAATCTTACCGACCCCAAACGTTAAATATTTTTGAGCAGTATGTTTTATAACATAATTTAACCTATCATGTAGTGGTGACATTTCACAGCTTCACTATTTATAGCTCCATCAGTCAATGAAAACAAGAAAATATGATTAGATTTAAAAAAATTAATTGGTCTGAGTAATTTATAGTGACTCGGTCTGAATCAAAATTCTGTTTAAAAATCTTTAATCACAAATGTTTGTAAAGGTCATAGAAAAGTCATGTGAATTCATTATTCATCATTCAATTTGTCAAAATAGTGGGAATCGTTGTAGTGTTTAGGTAAATCATAGACGTTACCTGAATGTACTCCTGTGTTTGTTTGTGTGCAGAGGATCAGAGGAAGGAAGGCCACACTAGATGAAATCCAAACTGTGCATTCTGAGTACCACACGCTGCTCTATGGCACCAGTCCACTGAACCGACAGAAGCTGGACAGCAAGAAACTTTTAGGTGTGTTTTAGAAACTCTCTGTTGTGATGTAAGTAGTTGCTGCTGTCTTGATTTTAGGATGCCAAAACAGGATTCTCCTTCTAGAGTACACCATCCACAAAAAGCTTCCCAATCTGATGGCTTGCTTAAGCAAACCTCCTTTGACAGACGCCTAGGCTTATTTTAGGCCCTAGACATTTGCCCACCCCCGCTTCTGAGTCACCAGTGAAGTGTGTGTGTGTGCGACTGCGTTTGTGTGTGTGAGGGTGAGAAGGTTCAGCTGCGGACAGAGTTGCTATCACTCCACCACCTCCACTTTTATATGAGACACAGTTTGAAGAAGTGCAGACAGTTTCGAGACAGATGATGGTTGCGTCAGCGTCATCCAGCGAGCATCCTCGAGACTGAATTAGCATAGCCAATTATGTCATTAACTGAATAGATAATGTGTGAACAACAGATGTGGGGCTAAACATAACACTGCTTTAGATCAGCCTCTGATTTGATTTTTTTGATTTTCTAGGTCCAATAAGTCAAAAAATGTATGCTGTCCTACCGTGTGGAGGCATTGGGGTACGTTTTCTCCTTTCATCTGTCCAGTCATCACACTTCTTTTATAAAGAATGAAATGGCATTCACAATGTATGCAACTGTACATTATAGGAGGTATTTCCAAACAAAACAGAATATTCTGGCAAATAATATAGGCAGGAATTTGTCTGTTAGGATTCGTTTGGATTGTGAAAAGTAGGCCATGGTATTATTGGTTATATTATTTTTTCCTTGACTGTGCAACCTTACTTACATTGGGTACTTGGTTATTAGTAGTAGTAGTAGTATTTAGATGCTATCATATTTTAATAATTTAATTTATTATTATTAATGTTGTTGTTGCATTAGATTATAATAAATATATAGATTATAATAAAATATAACATCTAAATTATTATCATCATCAAAGTATAATATTAAAATAAATCAAACATTTAAATAATAATAATTATTAGTAGTAGTAGTAGTAGTAAATGTTTCATCTTATTTTAAATAAATTAGCATTATTATTGTTAGATTAGATTGGAATATATATATACATTATAGATATAATAAATATACAGATATATCGACTATAATAAAATAAAACTTCTAAATAATGATCATCATTATTATTAATTATTAAAATATTTAAATAAAACAAAACTTTTAAATAATAAGAATTTTATTCTAATTCTAATATATAATTATATATATATAATAACACCATGGACATTTATTAAGGAAGTAAATAGGATCAGTATTGAGCAGTATTTAACTTGATTTAATGCCCTTTAGGTGGACAGTGACACAGTGTGGAACGAGATGCACTCGTCAGGAGCTGTCCGGATGGCGGTGGGCTGCGTCATTGAGCTGGCATTTAAAGTTGCTGCCGGAGAGCTGAAGGTTCATATTTATTTCTCTTACCACAGCTTCATGTTTATTTGATGTTGTTCTGGCATAAATATTCAGTGCTTGTATTATATCACATCTCTTATGTTGTCCTCATTCTTCTCTTCTATTTTTGTTTGATGGATAGAACGGGTTTGCGGTGGTCCGTCCTCCTGGTCATCATGCTGAGGAATCAACTGCCATGTAAGTATGAAATGCCTTCCTCTTTTAGTCTGTGTAAAATATTTTATTACAAATATTTGAATATGTCATTTAAAGTTGTTTACTTCATCATATTTATTCTACATAAAGCAACAAAATGCATTTAAATTATTCATATGTGGACTTTTATGTCTTGGTGTGAGTTTTGTGTGTACAGATGTTTGTTATCTTGGTGGATAAATCAGTTATGTGTGTTCACATGAATACGAGTTCACTGCTCTGTGTGTATCTCGGCAGGGGTTTCTGTTTCTTCAACTCAGTGGCCATCACTGCCAAACTGCTGCAGCAGAAACTCGGGGTGGGCAAGATCCTGATCATAGACTGGGTGAGTTTTTAGGATCTCCATGTGATACACAGCAACTTTTTGTTGTTACAGTTCACACGTAACAAGCAATATTATTGTACCGATTCACTTTAGCTGATTTTAGAGAAGAAAATCTTTCACTGACAAAACCAGATTCGACTCTGTGTTACAAAACCGTCTTTCAATACTTTCATAGGATATTCACCATGGAAACGGGACCCAGCAGGCTTTCTATAATGACCCCAATGTGCTGTACATTTCCCTGCACCGTTATGACGATGGCAACTTTTTCCCAGGCAGCGGAGCTCCTGAGGAGGTAACAACATTTCAGTCACTGTGAGAATAGTGGCCTCCTGTAGTCACATGACCAAAATTGTCTTGTTTTTTTTTTTAGTGGAAACATTCCAGTGTCGTTTTTTTTTGTCTGAACTGTCTCATGGGTTCCTCTCTAGGTGGGTGTAGGTCCAGGAGAGGGCTTTAATGTCAACATTGCCTGGACAGGTGGAGTGGAGCCACCTATGGG